TAATGTTTAGAATGTCAAAATATGTTCTCTTTTATTTTAATTTTGAAAGTTTTACTCAGACGATCGATGAAATAAAACAGTGTAGTGACGTGCCTAGTAACCTGCTAAATAACGAGATAATTCGGACGTCAAATTCTATTTTGTCCAGCGACAGTGTACAAACGTGCGCCGGTGTCTGTGACGATCACGGTGACCAGCTACACCAGAATGGACATATTTCGCATCTAACTCAACCCCATGCAACAAAAATTGATACTATGTGTTCATTATGGTCCATTCTTCCTCGACGAACAAGTACATAAGCGACAATTTAGTCAAAGACGAGAAAACTGCACAAGAAATTTGCCTTATTTACACGTATCGGCAATGCAAGCTGCCATGCGACTTCCCCTTCTGACGTCACAAGGGGAATTTCTGTATACAAATGAGAAGCTAATGAAGAGCCTCATTTTAAAATATACAAAAATAAAGTTGCCGTAGACTGAGTTTAAAACACATTTTCTCACTTAAAAAAATAATTATGCTTAGAAACATAAAAATTAATAATATTTATGTATCAATGGATAATTTTAGGTGTGAAAATAGCAGCCATTTCACAGGCACTTTAAGAACTCGTCCTTGACTCCCAAAGTTAAAATAACTACATTGCTCACTGTTGTTGAGAACATGAACCTCTTGGCATGGTTCGTCTTCTAAGTATACATTTGTACATTTGGATTATTTTTCCTGCTGTACAAATAATGTTAGAAAAAAACTCAAATTTAGATTTATGCAGCACAGATATGAGGAGTTAATGCTGATTAATCTCACCGTCTGGAATACGTCCATTCATGTAACGTTCCTCTGTGTTGCCGTCAGATGTGAGGAATAATTCCTTCATTCCTTGTTTTTCCATTGTCTATGATTTATGGATGTGGGTGATATGCAGCAATTATTATGAAAGAAAAGCAAACAAATATTTAAGCTTAAATGAAATGTAAAACCATGAAAATTCGGTCCAGTTTTGTCTTAAGAAATCTGTCCTCAGAAATATTAGATTTTTAATGAATTTGTATTTTTGTGACAGAGGTGAAACTAGTATTGTGTGTGTTGATGTAAGACATGCAATCACACTTTCAGAAATGTTAATTATTGTTACAGAACATTTTCTTGTTTTCAAATTGCAATTCTAGCTGTTTTATTTTTCATCATCTTGTGAACTGACTAAGATTTAGAGTTGTGGTGTTCTAATTAAATTTAAACATTTTTTTTACAGAATTTTTTTTTTATAGTTTATCTAGAAAGCTCATGCACAGAACAGAAGACTGAGTAGACAACATACTGTATCATCACATAGATAGTCTACAAATTTTTATATCATGACATCATCAAAGTTTTAAATTATGACATCATCAAGGTTTTAAATCATGACATCAAGGTTTTAAATCATGACATCAAGGTTTTAAATTATGACATCATCAAGGTTTTAAATTATGACATCATCAAGGTTTTAAATCATGACATCATCAAGGTTTTAAATCATGATATCATCAAGGTTTTGAATCAGGACATCATCAAGGTTTTAAATCATGAAATCATCAATGTTTTAAATCATTTGACATCATCAATTTGCAGAACTGCATCATGGGATGCCAAGGTTGTTACTGTTTACTATTACAATAATGATACAAAACCTCAGATCCACAGTTCAATTTGTTAGACAATAAAGCAAAGTTTTATATATTATGGGGAACACACAAAAAGAACTTTATATTAATGGAAGTGATAATTTCTGAAATAGATTCATCTATACAGAACATTACTTTTTTAAAATCAAATTTTGTTTTTGTATTCTTTTCTTTAACAATTTTAATAACTTTAGTAAATGAGAGATTATAACCATTTCATCAAAAATTCAGAAAATACAAACATTGCTAGTATAGTAATAATTTATATGGTGACAACTATTTATGACAGAAGGAAAAATTCAAAATGGTGAGTCAGATTTCTTAATCTACAACTGGACAGAATTTAGTCGATTGACTATGGATAGAATTTAGCCGCTTGACCTCTTACCCCCTGGTATACGTCCACTGGCATTTTCATCATCACTGTTATCACTTGTTACAAACAACTCTTTCATTCCACGTTTTTCAAATGCCTGAGACAGCAACAGTTCGTAGAAATAAAACAGTTTATTGTCCAATTAGAATATTCTATTAAATTTTTTGTAGTGTAGTGTAGTGTAGTGTAGTATTAAACATAACTTGTACATGTAGTGTAGTGTAGTGTTAAACGTAGCTTGTACATGTAGTGTAGTGTAGTGCAGTGCAGTTCAGTGCAGTGCAGTGCAGTGCAGTGCAGTGCAGTGCAGTGCAGTGCAGTGCAGTGCAGTGCAGTGCAGTGCAGTGCAGTGCAGTGCAGTGCAGTGCAGTGCAGTGCAGTGTAGTGTAGTGTAGTGTAGTGTAGTTAACACATTAAATCTGTGAGTGTGAGACATACCTCTTTGATATAAATCATGTAATTCAGATCACTTCCATATGAACCATACTCATTCTCAACCTGTATCGCTATGATTGGTCCTCCATTAGAAAACTGTAATTAACAAAACATCACACTATTAAACAAAATGACATGCAAGAGTGAACCACTGAGTGATTACAGTGTTAATGTTCCAGTCAAAGACATTTCAGAACAAACTTAACCTGTGTACTTGCCTTCGTACACATACCACATTAGAATAAAATTCTAATCAACAAATTAATATACTGATAATTAAGGTAGAGATGCAGTTTGGGAGACTAT